CAAAAGACAAGTGGTTATACCAAGAACAAAATGCAGGTTAGCAAAGCCCTGCATAAATGTTTATAATTAAGTGGTTCCTATTATATTGAGGCAAAATCCAGACTTTTGCTTCATCAAATTTTAGAATAAATCAGCTTTAACAAATAATATTAGGCCGGGCGCGGTGGCTCATGCTTGTAATCCCAGCACTTTGGGAGGCCAAGGCGGGCGGATCACGAGGTCAGGAGATCGAGACCATCCTGGCAAACATGGTGAAACCCCGTCTCTACTAAAAATACAAAAAGTAGCCGGACGCAGTGGCGGGCGCCTGTAGTCCCAGCTACTCGGGAGGCTGAGGCAGGAGAATGGCGTAAACCCGGGAGGCGGAGCTTGCAGTGAGCCGAGATCGCGTCACTGCACTCCAGCCTGGGCGACAGAGCGAGACTCCGTCTCAAAAAAAAAAAACAAAAAACAACAACAACAAAAAAAACAAATAATATTAAATGAGATATAATCTAATTACGAGTTTAGAAGTTAGAAATTGAGAATAAAATCCAAGAGAAAGGAAGATTGAGATACCAACGGAGGGGTTCATGGTGCTTACCGCTTGGGACTCAGACAAAAAGGCATCTCATCCCCAAATGGAATTTGGGCTGGATGGTCCGGTGTCCTGGAGCACTGTTGTTAATTCCATTCCGTCTAATACAGATTGTGGGAACACAGCCTCACTTTTCAGACTCCCTAAACATGAAAATACTCAGGGAGAAGACGTCATGATGTATGTAATTTACTTTAAAATTCTTCACTAAAAACAAAATAACAAATATGGCAAAACGAGTTTAATCTATGTGTGTGGCTGAGTCTCTGACAGGGCCCCAAAGAGTCCTTCCTGGTCTTCAGGCCGATGTGGGACCCCCACCCTGAGAGTGGGCCTGGACTCACCTCTAACAGACAGCAGGTCACAAAAGGTGGGGACTCCCGCTCTCACCCTCTCTCTCCTGCCCTGGGGGAGGCCGTGGGTGCTGGTGCAGGGGAGAGGCCACGGGGCTGGCAGTGGAGGGTGTGGGGGCTGGGTGGAGGAAAGGGCAGGAAAGACCCTTCCAAGCCCAAATGCTTCTGGTCAAAGCACTCAGGCACTGCAGGGTGCCACGCAGTTGAAAAGGAAGTTCTTGAGGGAGGGTGCTTCTCTGCGTCCCAGTCCCCAGGGCTCTGCAGCGGCACCGGCACTGCCATGGGAAGATGAAATGGTCCTGATGCCTGGCCCAGCTCTGAGCCTGGTGCTGAGGACAGGCTGATTCCCCTCCTGAGCCTGCGCTCCCAGGAGGGCCCCTGCACGCCAGGCCTGTGTTTCAGCGTGCGACCGCCTGTCTCCCTGAAAGATCCAATCTCTTTTTTTCGAGACCGAGTCTCGCTCTGTCACCCAGGCTGGAGTGCAGTGGCACGATCTCAGCTCACTGCAACCTCCGCCTCCCAGATTCACATGATTCATTGTTTTTTTTGTTTGTGTGTGTGTTTTTTGAGGCAGAGTCTCACTCCGTCACCCAGGCTGGAATGCCGGCTGCTTGCGGAGGTGATGTTCTGTCCAATATGGTCGCTGCCTGGTGGCCAAAATGAGCATCTCAGACTGTGCTGGGCTTTCTGAAGGGCCACACAACAGTTCAGGTTCACCATTTGATTTAAAGGAACATCAGCCGGACTCACGCCGTTGCCTGTGAGGGCTGCCTGCAGAGTACCCCCCGTGAATGAAAATGTCTGTGTAAGGACCCTTCGTAAAAGGTGTTCTCTGTACTTCCGGAAAGCCACCAGTACAAATGCACTCTACATGCAGCAAAAATTACTAAATTACATAATACATCACAATCACGGAAAAACAAAAACCTGGTGTATCCGTCAGCTCGGGCAGCCCTAACCAAATGCCGCAGGCTGGGAGTCCTGAGCCACAGAAATGTTTCCTCCCACGGCTCTGAAGACTGGAAGTCTGAAATCAAGGTGTCACCAGATTTGGGTTCCCCCGTGTCCTCCCTCATCGGCATGTAGATAGCTGTCTTCTCACTGTGCTCTTCCAAAAAGTAGAAAAAACAAGTATGCGTCAACAGATGACAAATAGACAAAACAAGGTGGATGCGTGTCGTGAAATATTTATTATTCAGTCACAAAAGGAGTGAAGCCCTGATGGGCGCTACAGCACGGACGGACCTAAGACATTATGCTATGTGGCATAGGCCGGACGCAAAAGGAAAATACTGCATGATTCCCCTCACATGCAATCTCTAGATGAGGAAAATGTGTGGAGACAGACGGCAGCCCCGCCCAAGAAGCCAGGACGATGGAGAAAGGTGTTTCTCACTCCCCACAGGTGCCAGGGGCAGCCTGCTTGGACAGCCATCGCTTTCAAGTCCTCCTCAGAGAATCCCTTCACACCTAACTTGTTGCAGAGCATTTTCCTGCATGATGGATGTGCTGAGAACACTGATGGGGCCTCCAGTCCTGGCACGGGTTCCAGTCCCACACACTCTTTGAGCCAGAACATTCCACTGGAGTTTTGATGGGTGGGTCGGCTCCAGCCTTATCTGTTTACAGCTGATAAGGAGGAAAGAGGCCTTTCCTGGCAGGGACCCACCTCCACCCTTCCCGTGCTCCCGGCAACGCTTCCAGCTGGGCCTCTTGATGGCAAACAGGGCAGCTCCTCTGCAGTAAAATGCAAAACCCTTTTATAAGACCTTTGAGTCAACGCGGCAACCTGGGACCACAAAGCTTTGTGTGGAGAGCAAGTGACAGTTTGGCGAAAATAGGTCATCAGAAGCTTTATCGCCAGGCCGTCGGCCCTTCTCAGAGCCAACTGCAGAGCTTAAGCAAGCAGCTTAAGCATATCGCACTGCTATTTCTTGCCTCTCGGTTCTGTCTTGCTGGCAAGACATTTTTTTTCCTAGTTTCCACTTATAAAGTGCAGATTTTCAAAATCTTACTCTACATATGAAATGTCATGATGTATTGGAGTTTTTAAAACTTCAAGAAAAAAATTAGGGAGGAAACAAATGAGATAAGATTGGCCAAGGCTGATACTGAATTGCTGAACCTGGGCTTATTGGCTCATTCTCCCAGCCTTTGTGTATGTTTGGAAATGTCCACTAAGGTAAAATTTAATAAATAAACTATGCGGGAAAGTTAGATTTTAGACGCTGCTTTTAAAGCTTTCGTATTGTCAGAGAAGTTTGGTTTCAACATCACTCTGTAAAGTGAACAGTTTTAAAACGTATTTAGACAAAAAATACAATCCTCTAGCTTATATACATCTTCATTTTAGTATACAAACAATTTAGCTCATGCAGAAGATTCTATTAATTTAAAGTCATAAAATGTACTTACTTTTACATATAATTAAATGATGTAATTAACCAGTAGTAACCATTGAGTTTAAAAGTGTATTTTTTGACCGGGTGCGATGGCTCACGCCTGTAATCCCAGCACTGTGGGAGGCTGAGGCGGGTGGATCACAAGGTCAGGAGATCGAGACCATCCCGGCTAACACGGTGAAACCCCGTCTCTACTAAAAATACAAAAAATTAGCCAGGCGTGGTGGCGGGCGCCTGTAGTCCCAGCTACTCAGGAGGCTGAGGCAGGAGAAAGGTGTGAACCCAGAAGGCGGAACTGGCAGTGAGCCGAGATCACGCCACTACACTCCAGCCTGGGTGACAGTGAGACTCCGTCTCAAAAAAAAAAAAGTGTACTTTTCACCGGGCACGGTGGGTTTGTCCCTGTAATCCCAACACTTTGGGAGGCAGAGGCAGGAGGATTGCTTAAGGCCAGAAGTTAGAGGACAGCCTGGGCAACATAGCAAGACCCTATCTCCACAAAATAAAAAACAAAATTAGCTGGACATAGGGGCACGAGCCTGTAGTCCTAGCCATTCAGAGGCTGGGGTGGCAGGATCACTTGAGCCCAGGAGTTCGAGGATGTGGTGAGCTATGATCACTCACTGCACTCCAGCCTGGGAGACAGAGTGACACTTTGCCTCTAAAAAAACAAAATTAACAAGGTGTTTGTCTCATGACTCCACTTACAGATGCTTGATGAAGTTCTGGGGCACCTTCCTCCGTGTGCTCTGCCCGCTCGGGTCTGCTGGCCTTGACCTGGTCCTGGCAGCCCACAGGACCCATTGCTGGGAGGTCGCCGGGACAGCCCGGTCCTCCAATTTCCCTTTGCTTTATTCAACAGCCTCTTTAATAAACCTCACATGTAAAGGTGTAAGAAATTAAATCACCACTGAAGATTATTTCAGCCTTGGAGGAAGAATACTATTTTTAGAAATAAATTTTTATATTAAAATCACAGAACAATTTGCAACACTGGGTTGCAAAGTGTTTTCTTTAGTGCTGATAAAAGGGCCTCAGTCTCTAATCCCGTAGTTAGAAAAACAGATTTAGAAGGTGCTAGAAAAGACCACAAATCACTCCCTCTTTGAGTTCCGTTTGGATTCAGCAGGCTCCTCTGGCAAGGGCGGGCGCTGCAGTTGCCCCGTGCTCCCAAGGGCTCCCTGTAGTTGCCTTAAATACCTGTGGGTATCTCATCATATCTGTGCCATGCATGTTTTACAGAGATCGAACTGCCAAGGGATTGTAACTCTCTAAGCCTCCCTATCTCTCTTTTCATGTAGGGGATAATAATCGCGCCTACCCTAGAGGGTCCTATAGTAAATGGGGGCAGTGCCCCTCCCCCACTTGCTGGGCACAGAGAAGAGGCACTATCTGCGGAGTGATGGGGACTGTCTTAAAGCAGGGGGGACATGCTTTCCCTTATCCTTGTGTTCCCCATTCAGGGCAGCTGGGACCCCAGGCTGTGCCCCACACGGCAGCTGTGCCCCACAGGGCAGCTGGGACCCCAGGCTGTGCCCCACACGGCAGCTCCCTCTCCCGCAGGGCCCTTCACCATCTCCCAGTACAAGGAGTACGCGATAGAAAATCTCCATCTTCCTATGAAAGCTTTTTGTTCGTGTTGGGTTTTTTTTTTTTTTTTTTTTTCAGTGAGAATATGGCTCGTCACCTTGGATACCAATGTTTTACCCCAGGGATTGGTCACTCCTGCTGCTGTCAGCACTGTAAACACTGCTGGGGGGAGTCGGCCCAAGTCCCCACCCCCAGCCAGGTCTCAGAGGGGATCATCCTTCAGGCTCGGAGGGGCCTGCCTGTCACTGCACCCCCAACCCTAGCTCAGGGGCTGTAGAACTCGAGATACCATCCTGTTTCTCCTGGCTGAGGAAGGAAAAGGAACATCCACACCTTCCGTACTCGCCCATTCTGTGTCCCCGGGGCCTGGAGTAAAGACACCTTCAAATGCAGAGGCTCTTCAAACTCAGCTTTCCTGGAAACTGATCTTCAATGCACTAAGAGAAGGAGACTCTCAAACCAAAAATGACCTGGAGGCACCATGCCAGGTAAGGACAGAGGTCATGAGATCTTAGAGCCAAGAGGGGGGTCTTGAGAGCCTCAGAATCAATCGTAGTGCGTGAGCCACTGTTCATTAAAGGAGGTGTACACTTTCTGTCTCAAAATCTCTCTAAGCCATAGCAAAATTAACAAAAACCTACAAGTTACAAAATGATTGCCTTATTCATTATAATTATTTTACATAATTTTATATTTATATATAATGATTGCATTGTATTTTTAGGTATAGGTGAATTTCTGCTTATACTTTTAAAGACATTTTCAACTTCAATGATTTTCTTTAAATATTCTAGGTTTCTGTTTACAGTCAGTTTGGCATTACAGATCATCAATTTGGGAAACAGTAAGAAACATTTTATTCATAATTTCAGTTTTAATTGCATAAAATATTTGTTTCTCAATCATTATCAGTCTCACATTTTCAGTAATTTTTAAAGGCTATCAAAGAGAGAAACATAACGGCCGTAGAGAGGAAGTCACCAAGGTTGTCACTCAGAAGCACCAACAGTCACCGCTCAACTGGACCTCCAGTCATTCCGGGGAGGTGACTGGGAGCGCCCAGGGCTGGGGGCCAGAGGAGCCCCTCCCCTACTCCCGGGCTTTCGGAGAGGGTAAGTTGCGGTGCTGCCCACAAAATCCAGGGCGTCATCTCAGTCTGCGGACTCAGAGTTTAGGACATAAGAATATGTAGTATAAATTCAGGATAAAATTCAAGGAGAGCATTTTGTTGTCTTCAAATGATCATGCACTTATAAAGCTATAAAGCTAGAGACAGTTCCTAGTGAGGTGTTAAAAAGTTTTATTCTTTCACTGGCAAAACGTCGTGTTTGCTCTTCAATGGCTATTCTGCTGCAGATGTAGAGAACTGTGATTTAAATGTGTTGCAAATAAGTATCCCAAGCCCAGATAACAGTGGACCCTTGCTTGGCTTATCGCAGACACCGCGTCCCCCAGGAGGCCCCTCGCCGGTAGGTTTGGCGTCATCACACCCGTGGGTGGTCCAGCCCGGGAGGCCTGTGCTTAATCACTGTCAGGTGAAGCCACAGCCAGAGGTTAACATGTGAAAGGAAGGGAGAGAGCAAGCCGGGTTTGCAGGCCGCAGCCCTGGTCGTTTGTTTCATGTCCCTAACAAGCAGGGTTTACCTGAGCAAACACACTTGGCGGGGAGCTGATTTTACTGCCTCCCCGGGGCGGCCACGTTCGGCCCCGTCCCTGCGGGAGAATCGGGAGGGCCACGGGCCGCTGGGGGCGCGGGGCTGACGCGCGGGTGATCCCGCAGGTGCGTCCGCGAGGCCGCGCTGCTGCCGGAACGGCGGCACCTGCGTGCTGGGCAGCTTCTGCGTGTGCCCGGCCCACTTCACCGGCCGCTACTGCGAGCATGACCAGAGGCGCAGGTGGGCACCGGGGTGCGCGGGGAGGACGGGAGTGGGCGCCGGGCGAGGGGCGTGCGGGTCGGGGGCGCGGGAGTGGGCGCCGGGAGAGGGGTGTGCAGGTCGGGGGGCGCGGGAGTGGGCGCCGGGCGAGGGGCACGCAGGCCACCGCATTGATGCAGGTCCCGGTCTTCTCAGTGAATGCGGTGCCCTGGAGCATGGCGCCTGGACCCTCCGCGGCTGCCACCTCTGCAGGTGCGTCTTCGGGACCCTGCACTGCCTCCCCCTCCAGACGCCTGGCAGCTGTGGTAAGAGGCCCTGCAATTCGGTCCCCAGCTCACCACCACACCACACACTGCTGCGCCTTCACTGCAGCGCCTTCACTGCAGCTCACCCTCCATACCGATCCACAGTGCATCTTCCATTGCCAGGCTACATAGCATTCAGCAAACTAGATCGATTCATCATTGAAGAAAATCGCATTCATTGGGAATCATATAGTGAATTAAATTTTGGTTTGAAGTTGCTCATATCCAGATTGCTGAGTTTAAAAATGATTTCCAGTGTCCTCACGTGTCCATTTCAGTGAGCGGAATTTCAGGAGATGACCAACTGGTAATTGAAGAGGAATCTGGGAGACAGGTTAGCTGTGTAAATCTCAGGTGGTTTCTCTGCACTAGGCCAGCACCATCTGCTCAGCTGTGGGACCAGCAGGGGCACAGGCAGCATGGCATTGGCAGCACGGCATTTCTTTCTGGAATCCTGTGCCTTCTAGCCTCTCCTCTTTGGCGAGCACTGGCTGGCACTAGCAATGGAGGGCACAGCCAGTGAAGGCCCAGCCTCTCGGCCCCAACCCTGGCTCTGCCCTCTCCCAGGCCTGAGTGGTCTGGTGGTGCAGTGTCCAGGGGCATGCCTGATGAGGCCAAGGCCCCTGAGCCACTCTGCTGCCCCCTCCCCTCCACTTCAGTCAGCCCTGGGAACCTCCATCTGTCAAAGGGCACAGCCCTGCAACCCCACTTCCCACCTGTCGTCCTCAGGCCATCCTGCTAGGGCTGTGTGGAGGGCAGTACCAGTGGCCAAAGATCTTCAACCCGGCTCCCTCAGCTTCCCTCTTGCTCTTGGAGGCCTGCAGTGGAGGAGAACACTTAATGCATGCTTAGCTCTCCTTCACCTTCCTGTCCTCTCTTCTCTCCCTGGTAGGACCAGCAGTCAAGGAACACTCTTAATACAGGCACAGCCCCTAATCCCACTTCCCACATTTTCCCAAAGCACCCCCTCTTATATATGTGCTCCTTTTGCTGGGCCTCTGCCTCTGAGTCACCAGCTGCTCCTCTAGGCCCCAGAGAAAGGAAGACACAGATTTCACGGACAGGCATCAGAATCACAGCGGGTGCTTGTGTGGTCCTCATAGATGAAGTCAGTTCCCACCTGCCATTAGACCGCCCAGGTTGGAACGTGGGGAACGGACTAGCTGTGATGACTTCCAGGATATCTGGTCACGATTTTACATTCTTGGAAACATCCAGTGCTGAGACTGCTATTTACCAAGGACAGTGATAATGGGTCTGAAAATGTGGCCTCTGTTCATCAAAGCTGGACGAAATAGTACAGTCATCCTTCAGAGTCATCTGTCAGGTGCAGAGAGGGTAGTAACACCTTTGTGTTCTTTTACCCATTCATCCTGCTTCGAGGCAAGTTACAGTGATGCTTTGATGGCTGTGCAGATGGTGGTTATGATGACTTCAAGTTCACAAGGGCGATGATAGATGGAACATCCTCCGTAGCAGGTGCCATTGCAGTAGGGCAAGCTCTTCTGGGTGTTACAGCAGGAGAGGAGATCTCAGTGTATTTCAGGCACTTTATATACCCATTATCCCATTTAACTCTTACAAAAGCCAATGAAGTAGGTACACCTTTTACATTTGGGGAAGCTGAGACACAGACAGATCAACTCCTACAGATAGTAAAAAGGGTCTGATTCTGATTCTTAACCTTGTGCCATTCTTGTACTTTTTTTTTTTTTTTGAGATGGAGTCTCGCTCTGTCGCCCAGGCTAGAGTGCAGTGGCACGATCTCGGCTCACCACAAGCTCCGCCTCCGGGGTTCACACCATTCTGCCTCAGCTTCCTGAGTAGCTGGGACTACACGTGCCTGCCACCACACCTGGTTAATTTTTTAATTTTTTTAATTTTTAGTAGAGACGGGGTTTAACCATCTTAGCCAGGATGGTTTTGATCTCCTTACCTCGTGATCCACCCACCTCGGCCTCCCAAAGTGCTGGGATTACAGGCATGAGCCACCATGCCTGGCCCATTCTTGTACTCTTTCTATAAGAGTAATTATCAATATGACTGGGTACAATGGCTCATGCCTATAATCCCAGAACTCTGGGAGGCTTATGTGGGAGGATTGCTTGAGGCCAGGAGTTTGAGAAGAGCCTGGGCAATATAGCAAGACCTGTCTCTACAAAAAATTTTCAAAATTAGCCAGGTGTGGTGACGAGCACCTGTGGTCCCAACTACTTGGGAGGCTGAGAGGCAGAAGGATCACTTGAGCCTAGGAGTGTGAGGTTACAGTGAACTATGACTGCACTCCAACCTGGGTGACAGAGCAAGATCCTCTCTCTTAAAAAGAAAAGAAATAATAAATATGAAACACATGAAGATATTTTTTATAGTGTTGTATAGAATATAGAAAGTTTGGTCATGGTCCAAAGCCAACAGCACAGTAATAGGTAAGTAAATGTTTTAAATCCTTTAATGCGAGATTAGGATGGTTTCGAAGAATATGTGGAAGATAGAATGTTGCTACAAAACGTGGCCCCCTGGCTCCTGCAGGGACTCTCTCTCTGGGGATCTCCAAGAGCACTCATTGCTCTGACCGATGATCTGCGGGTCCAAGAATGAAAAGCTTCCATCTAGCAGGGACCTTTCCCCACTCCTGAGCTAGCCAGGATCTCCTTGTTAGTCTGAGGGGGTGGCTCTTTCTACTGTGGCCCTACAGCATCAAGTATCAGTTTTCACAAGTATCAAGAGACAATTTAATTCCATAGACTCTAAAATTTAGAGTCTACACGATGACACGGTGATGTAGCCAAGTCAGGTGTCTTCAGAGATGGGCAGGTAACATAGAAGTGAGACAGGGCCAGGTCAGGACTCACCTCACTGCTGCAAACTAATTTTTAAAAATGCAATTCTGGCAAAAACCCACCAACCAACCAACTAACAAGCAAACAAACATCCGTGGGCCAGACCCAGTCTACAGACCTCTGGGATGCCATTGGAATGGCTCTCGCAGGTCCAGCTGGCTCTGAGTCTGTAAGCAAGCACCCTGTGTCCAGCCCTCCTGTTTCCTTCTATCAGAGGAAGGCCAGCACAGACCCAGTACTGCTGACCCCTTTCCCACCTGAATAGCTTCACATGCTGTGAGCGCCTGTCTTAGCATAACCTTCTCTGGAGCCTCATCTGAACCTAGATGTTAGTATTCCTGTTTGGGGATTCCGGCACCCCTGGAACAACCCTCTCTCCCAAGGTGGGGTGCTATGGGGAGGTGGCACCCAAGCCTGGAGTGAGCCTGACCTGGCCAATGCCACCACAGCCTACCTGTGGACAGGTGTAGAGTGGTTCTTGCTGCAGGCGCTGGTCTGCATCATTCCTTGTTAATTTCCAGTTTCATACTCATGCCAGGTTCCCAAGTCCAGAGGGCATCTCCTGGAGGTATAGTAGAGGGTGGGGCAGACCTGGTCGGCGGGTGGGGAGGTGGCTGGCCTTTGTTCAGTTGCCCCTGGGAGAGGGTCCCTGTAGTTGGCCATGCTCTTCCACCAGCCTGACCCCACTCCAAGCCAGGCCTGAACTCACTTGTGAGAATGTTCTAGTGGTGTTGGCTGCCATGCCTGCAAGGTTGTCCACTTCACATGGCAATCACCACCCAGGGCATTAGCCAAGACCCTGCCCAGCCCCACCACTCCAGAGATTCCCATTCCACTGTTCTGGACTGCGGTCCCAGCTACATAGAGACCAAGGCTCAGGGACCCTGAGGGTTCAGCATGAATGAGGCCTGCCGTGAGGGGTGGGGAGGGGAGACAGGGACTAGGCGTTCAGGCATGGCCTCCTGTGACCAGCGATGTGGACAGGGGAGCAGCAGGTGAGTCCCATGGGGCACGAGGGCACTCACAGGGCTAGGCCTCCTCAGAACAGCAACCAGACTTTGAGTGGCTGCACCCTCCTGCTCCATCAGCTGTCCCTCGTCAAAGAATATTTCGAGCACTCATTTGGGGAAAAGTGGAACCTTTGTTGCAGCAGATGGAGGTGAGCTGATTTATATACTACAGCACTGTTTTAAATCGGGTCTATTTGCCCAATCGCTCAATGACCTGGAGCGGGACTCCCTGAAAGGTCATAGGCCAAATGAGAAAGACGGAAGGGCTGTTCTTCGTTCCCCTTTAAAAACAGTACTGTAATTTCTCCTTCAGCCGCTCTGAGTTTCTACACACACTATAAGAGGAAACCCCACTCCGTGCAGCCGGACTACCAGCCCGCCGCACACCTCCGCCCTACAGCGCGGCCCAGGGGGGAGCCTAGTGAGGGCTTAGGGAGAAAAGGGCCTGCGGAAGGCAGGGAGCAGGCGTTTCTACTGCACCCGCCCTTACAACCGAGCCGCAACCGCTGTATTCATACATCTCCGGTTTTTGTCTTTTTTTTCCAGACCCCAAAGACTTCCTGGCCTCCCCACCACTCCAGGGCGCGGCGCCGGGGGCGCGCCCAGCCTGCTGCTCCCTGGCTGCCTCCCTGCGCGGCTCCTGCACACCCTGCGCGCCGGACGCGCCCCGCCGCACCCCTCGGCTCCCTCGTGCCTTCCGTCCCCTGCAGCGGGAGCGGCGCCCCCTGCGGGAAGGCGCGGACCTGGCCATCGCCTATCTCATTTTCACCTGTTGTACATAATTAGGTCGTGTTTAGTCTTACCGTAAGCTGAAGCACTGGCTGGATATTTTTACTGGATAATAAACATTTTCATGAAAATGCGCCTTTGCTCCAGATCCTTGGATCTGGTATCAGATTCCAGATCCGTGTGTCCCCAGCACGGCTGGACCTGTAGGTAGAGATAGCAGGACAACAGCGGAGAAGGAGCCAAAGGCTCGGAGCCGGAAGCCTGGCACCGCCTCCCCCCGACAGTTAGCACCTTCCATTTCACAACATCTTCCTCTAAGGGGCGGCGTCTGCTGCGGAACCCATCCGCAAGGCAGAGGCAGGCAGAGTTCAGCCTACAGAGCCCCAGGCAGCTCCTCCGTCTCTCAGCGCCCGGCTTCTCAGGCCACTTTCCCACAGCCCGGCTTGGCCATACGCGGAATCGAGCCGAGCACCTCAGGTAAGGACACTTGCACTGAGCGCTTCAGCTTTTAAAATGCACGGTAGTCTAACGAGCCTGCCGTGACACAATTTACTTTCTACGTTTTATATAGTGTTCAATACGATTTATTGGCCATTTTCAGTCTTTTCAACTAGTGGCTATGAAAATACAAATTTAACGTAACATTCAAATGAGTGTTAAATAAAAATAGAGTAGAACTTCATTAGAGGGCTGGCTTGGAGTTCACTGGTTCATGAGAAAAATAATTATTCAAGTTTTAAGACATAAATATTTCTAGGCATTAATATGTTTTGAGGCCGGGCTCACGCCTGTAATCTCACCACTTTGGGAGACCGAGGTGGGCGGATCGCGAGGTCAGGAGCTCGAGACCATCCTGGCTAACACGGTGAAACTCCATCTCCACTAAAAATACAAAAAAAAGAAAAAAAATTAGCCGGGCGTGGTGGCGGATGCCTGTAGTCCAGGGTACTCGGGAGGCTGAGGCAGGAGAATGGTGTGAACCCAGGAGACGGAGCTTGCAGTGAGCCGAGATTGTGGCACTGCACTCCAGCCTGGGGCAACAAAGTGACAAAAAAATACATATATATGTTTTTTTTATATATATATATGTATTTTTTTTATACCAAAGTTGTCTTAAGGTAGTTTCAAGTGCATTCTGAGCAGTGCCTTTTATTTCAGTTTATTGTAGGAATAAACAAGTGATAAACTTTGCAAATTATCCTAAGAGCTTGATGAATATGTATATGCTATTCATAAAATTTGTGTTTACAGAATGCCTATTTTTTACAACATTGCCAGGCAAAAAAGACACTGCTTTATTTTCAGTAGGTGCACTTAGGAAATGGAACTGAGAGGTCACAGTTGTGGTTAAAAGGAAACCAGAACTGTTCAATATTAGTATGAATATCTACGGTATAAATACGTTTTAATTAGAAAATTAGAAATCAGGCTCTATGGATTTCTCTACTGGAATACTAGAAAGGATCCTTCCAGTGAAATGATTCTTGATTATAGGCAAGAAAGTCAGAGTCACCATTTATCTGTCTACTAATTGAAAAGCCTTTACCTACCTAGCCTGAAAAGACAAGGAGAATTTGAGGATAAAAGGCATTTTCTTTTCGCAGCCCAGGCGTCCAGAGAGACAGTTAAAAAGGAGAAACTCTCAGGAGAGAAAAGAGCAATGCTGGCCTCATGCGTGTTAGCGTCATATAAATCGTGTCCCAGACTCGTATCTGTCCCCTGCGGTTGAGGAGGACAAATAGCAGACATCCTCTAGGCCACTATCTGCCAGCACCGCCTTGCTGGGGAAGAGCCCTGTTCACAGCCCTGGGTTTGCTCACCCCAGATGGAGGGAGGGCACCTCCCTTCCCAGAGCAGTCCCCAGCTGTGTCCATTCCTGCAGTGTTTGTAGATAGCTGCACTTTACTTGCCAGCTTAGCCCCTGGCTCAGTCATCCCCACACTCTCAGAAGAGCAAAATCTGTCCTCCACATGCCCTCTCCGAGGGGCCACTCGCCAGGGGTAACTGGGAGGAGATGCAGGGATGCATAAGGACTTACACCAGCACAGGGCTGGTATGTTCAGCCATTCCCTATGTCGGAGTTTCACTTCAGAGCCCCAGCGCATGCCCTGCCGGCTGAGGGTCGCTCTTGTCCTTTCAGGCCACATCACAATTTCCCCGCTCTAGCCTAGGAACAAATGGACTTTCTGGCTGTGAGCATTCAGAGCAGCCTCTGGTATTTTTCCCAGTTTCCGTTGTCTGCAAAGCCACTCTGGCACGTTACAGCCATACGTCACACCAGCAAAAGTTTCTGGGAGTGGACTTTTCCGTGGAATTCAGTTTTGAGTATTTAAAATTAAGTTTGATAAGCTTTCTATGCACAGGCACTTCTCCTCTCACTTGGACTGTCTGTTATGGGGAAAGGAAAACACAGGGGCTGTTCTACCACAGTTACAGCTGCTCGACTCCCACTGATCTGGCCAGCGCCTGGACCCCTTCGGAACCGGCACAGTGCTATGGAAGTTTGTGGCCAACAGAGCTAGCTGGATTCCCAGAAGCCGAATGCTGCCAAGTGAGTGGAGAGCTGGGCTGGGAAATGTCTGCAGCACTCCCACGGGGAAGGGAAGGATGTGCTGCTCAGTGTGTAAGAAGTGGCTCTCCAGAAACAAAAAGGTGCATCAGTATGCTGATATAACTTTTTTTTTCCTTCTTTTTTTTTTTTTTTTTTTTTTTTTTTTGAGACGGAGTCTCGCTCTGTCACCCAGGCTGGAGTGGCAGTGGCGCAATCTCGGCTCACTGCAAGCTCCGCCTCCCGGGTTCACGCCATTCTCCGGCCTCAGCCTCGCGAGTAGCTGGGACTACAGGCGCCCCGCCACTGCGCCCGGCTAATTTTTTTCTATTTTTAGTAGAGACGGGGTTTCAACCATGGTCTCAATCTCCTGACTCTTGTGATCCGCCCGCCTCGGCCTTCCAAAGTGCTGGGATTACAGGCGTTGAGCCACCGCGCCCGGCCTTTTCCTTCTTTTTGAGACAGAGTCTCACTCTGTTGCCCAGGCTGGAGTGCAGTTGGCACGATCTCGACTCACTGCAAGCTCCGCCCCCCGTGTTCACGCCATTCTCCTGCCTCAGCCTCCTGAGTAGCTGGGACTACAGGCGCCCGCTATCACGCCCAGCTAATTTTTTTGTATTTTTAGTAGAGACGGGGTTTCACCGTGTTAGCCAGGATGGTCTTGATCTCCTGACCTTTGATCCACCCGCCTTGGCCTCCTGAAGTGCTGGGATTACAGGCGTGAGCCACTGCGGCCGGCTGATATCACTTTATTATAAGTTTTACTGATATAAAGTACATTATAGCACAGAATTCACAAGTAATAACAAAATATACAATACTCTTTATTCCATAGAGCCTATATGTGTTTGTTTATTTTGATCAGATTGTCTATCTGTACTCAAACCTACAGTTGTGATGCAACCATGATTTGACAAACGGAGTTGCATCCTAACTCACGGCCTCTCCAACAAATTTATTGACATTAATCTGAAATGAGATCTACTGTAGAGATATTTCTAATCCTATTACAAATTATGTTAATTACCTGAAACAGCTCAACTTTGGCACTATATATGTGAGGATGTTACCAGTTTGTTGACATGAGTGATTTATTTGCTGAATCAGTTCGTTTTCAAATGAGATTCGTTTTAATCAGGTAAGGTAAGAATGCAGACATGGGCCGGGCGCGGTGGCTCACGCCTATAATCCCAGCACTTTGGGAGGCCGAGGCGGGCGGATCACGAGGTCAGGAGATGGAGACCATCCTGGCTAACACAGTGAAACCCCGTCTCTGCTAAAAATACAAAAAATTAGCCGGGCGTGGTGGCGGACGCCTGTAGTCCCAGCTACTCGGGAGGCTGAGGGAGGAGAATGGCGGAAACCCGGGAGGCGGAGCTTGCAGTGAGCGGAGATCGTGCCACTGCACTCCAGCCTGGGCGACAGAGGAAGACTCTGCCTCAAAAAAAAAAAAAAAAAAAATACAGACCTGGAAATGATAAGGAGGAAAAAGTGTGTGTACTCACTTAGAAACAGGAGGGGTGTCTTGCAGGGCCACATGGGGCAGCCCCAGGGTGGGCCGGGAGGCAGAGGGAGCGGGCACCGTGGGCAGGAGCCTGTACTGTGACTTCTGTGGGAAGGAGGCAGGGGCAGATAGTGTAGGGTTGGCTAGTGAGTCATTTCTGCAGACTCCAGGGCACAGGGGCTGTTCCTAGTTGCCTGGTACATTTTCCCCTTGCTCCCTTTGCTTCCGGACCGACCCTGGTGCCTCTCCATGTGGCCCTGTGTGATGTGGAATGGCCTGTCCTCTTGCCCTGTGAATATAACAGACTATCTTTTCATCATTTCCATGTCTGCATTCTTGTCCTACCTAAATAACAATAAAACACCCATTAAAAACAAATAAGAGCTGTTCACGCCATTAGAACCACCACGGACTAAGAGTCACTGAGGCCTTGCTCCTGGGTTGTCCTTGCTGAAGCTACAGCGATGCTAGTGGGGTGACTTTCTGTCTCGTTGGCGGGGCACGGCCCAGAGCCGAGACGAGGATGGTGAGTAACCGGCATCTGCTCAGACCCAGCATTGTGCTCCGCAGCCTGCTGCTGCCTCTGAGGTTTACTCTCTGCCAAGGGCACCTCACTAAACCTAGGGGCAATCTCATCACCACCCAGAAAATGCTCACTGGGTTCTAAACAGACACACCCTGCTTCTGAATCCGTCACTGAATCAATGACTTCATTTAATAATAAATCTCACCTCCAGGCAGACCTTTGTATTTTTTCTTCATGGCACGTGATAGATCACGATGAAAGAAAAGCCACTTTTATGGTCTTTGTTTGACATATGCGGAAACCCAGGCTTGAGGAGGTGGGAGAATCCAGCAGGTCCCGAAGCCAGCGAACGGGAAACCAGGGGGCTGCAGTTCGGTTCCTTGATTCCAACCCCCAGGCACGTTCTCTGCTGTCTAGGAGAGACTGTAAACCTCCACTACAAGTTTGACGTCAATTATCATTTTAATCCTGTTCCTGAGCCTCCTGTGTGGGGTGCTTGCCAGGCCTGAGACTTCAGTCATCCCAGAGTCTTTGCTCCCTCAGACACTTCTAGCATCAA